CAGCCGGGCCTTTCATTTTGAAAGGGTGGGGGGAGCCAACAGTCTTCACAGCTTTAGTTGTTGTTAGAATATAGTCTAGAATACTGAATTTTGACAAGTTAATTGTCATATCAGCTTCTGGCTCAGGTGATATTACAGAAAAAGCTATGCTGTCCAGCTCTGTATCAAGCAGAAAGCTCCATAAGCTAGCTTTTTGGATTTTTGCTGAAAGTCTGCTGTATGGTTTGGTTGGTACGGGGATGACAGGCTTCCTATCCAGTTTTACCTCGCCATTGCTGGAGCTGGGACCGCGGTGCAGCTGCTTTTGGGGCTGGTGCTGCAGAGTAGCTGTCCTAGTGGGGACAACCACGCCGCGGCTTCAGTCCCATGCCCACCATGCGTCCATGTCCTGGGACTAACTGAGTAGCGACCACATGGCCCTTGCTTCTTACTCTTCCACCAAGCCCACAACCATCAGCTTACGTTGTGTCCAAGCAAAGTGAGTGTTGCTGCATGGCTATACTGAGGAGGTAGGCGAGATTACAATTCTGTGTGCACCTGTGCAGGAGTGCACGCTAGAGAGAACTTAGCTCCAGGCTTGAGCTTTGACCTGGGCTGTGTAGTGGCTGCCTGGCTGCTGCAGGGGTGGACCTCTTGGTGGGCAGTTGCTGGAGCTGGAGCTGGGCTGCGATGTCTTCTGCATCCCTTTTCTTCCTCCCACATACTTCTTCCCTCTTCATTGCCCTTTGGTTCTGAACCTCCTGGCCCCCTTCAGCCATCTGCTGGCTCTCCCCTCTCTTCCCCCCAACAGCTCACTCCCTGCAAACCTTGGGCACTGGCCGTAGAGTCTGTCTGCCCTAGGTGGGGACTCTCAGCCAGCCCCACAGGGAGTATCCTGGGGCTGCCGTGGGACCAGCACTGCCTGGGGGAGAGGCAGATCTCATCTTCTCTCCAAAAAGTGTGTGTGTGGGGGTGCTGCCCTGGAGCAGGGCTCAGGATCCCAGCAAAGGGGGGGCCATGCTGGAGTCTCTGCACTAGGACAGTTTCTCGGGGAGCAGCGCTGCTGGTGGGAACAACAGTGGCACACATTTGAGCAAACGCACATGAGCCCCCTGTTGGTGCACAAGAGAAAACTCACTCCACTCAAGAATGGAAAATCTTAGAGGGAACACTGGCCCAGAGTCCCCTCCCATACTCTCATTTTTTAGTCAAATATTCTCGTTAACTGGCATAATCTTTTCTCCTAAACATGCCAGATAACAAAGCTTTTCCTGTAGTTGTATGATGTATATATTGGAGGGTCTTTTTAACTCTCATATTGTTGTGTATGCACACACAGGATTTTGTTTCAAGGACAGTTCTCTTTTGCACTGTGCCTGGATGCCATAAAAGAGTGGTTACTTTGGTTACAGGTATTAACATTAATCGTTTTTCAAAGATCCTTCCTTATTAAATATTTTATTATTTTAGTAATAACCCCAGAAATGTGCCAAGTTCAAGATTTGACACAATAAAAAAGTCCTTTTTCAAGGAATGCCAGTTTGAAATATCACTCTTTTCTGAAAACTCTATTTATAAAAGTTACAGGAAATACTTAAAATTACTGTACATGAAAGTCAACATAAATTTTGTTCATTTGTGCATTTAATATTTTGTATAGTCAGCTTCACTGTTCCTCGGTGCATTGTTAGATTTTCCAGTGCAGAAAAATGCATTTATAAATGCCAGAAAAGGAGCTGAACAGCAAGTATATTTTTTTAGAAAAATAAAAAAACAAACCTCAAAAACATTCTATTTAAATGGCAATTCATGAAAAAAACCATGAATAATTTTATAAACTTAAAATATTTTATTACGTAGTTACACAAGGAGACTCATACAGTAGTGCCCATCATCATCTTACCTGAGCAATTTACAGTCTTTAATCTAGTTATTTTTACAACATCCTCAGAGGTAGGGCAGTATTATCCAAGTTTCACAGAGAATGGGAGTACTGTGAGGCTAAGTGACATGTCCAATGTAGCCTTATCAGTTACTATTATAAAGTTATTTATTGGGATTCAACTAGGGATGTCAACTTATAGACTACACGATGAACTGATGAGCCTGGGTTTATTGCTTAATCTTGACTACGTGCATTTCCCCCCTCCCCCCCCCCCCCCCCCCCGCTTCCTCTGTATCAGAGGCAGCAAGGGGGGAGGGGGAAACAGGAGCCAGTGCCCATGAGAAGCCACCTTTTAAACTGACTCCCTGTGCGTGCCAGCTCCACGGACCCACCTTCCCCCTGTTCCCCTTGCTGCCTGCTATAGAAGCAGCGGGGGGTGGGGAAGCAGGAGGTGCTTTTCAGGAAAGTTGGCTTAAAAACTGGCTCCCCCCAACACTGGCTTTGTGGAGTTGCCTTCCTTATATTGTGGCCTCTTATCAGAAATAGTAGCAGGAGACGGGGGCAGGACCCTCTGTATGTGGTGGATTCGTGCTTGCCATGGACAGAGGCTGCTCCATGGCAGCAGTGCAGGGTGGCAGGCAGTAGCTTATCTGCTTGGGGAGCTGGTTTTTAAACTGGCTTCCCTCGCAGACCGCTTCCTCCTGCCACCCCATGTTGCTGCCTGTGATATAGAGGCAGCCGTGTGAGGTAGCGAAGGGGCTCCCTGGGAGTGGGGCCAAGTGCACATTGGCTACTGGCCCTGCCCTGGGGATTATCGAATAGTCATGCAACTGTTAAATTTTGATGTGGTTACAAGATTATTCAATTTCATGCTATCAAACATCCCTGGATGCAACAGGCATTAGTCACAAATAATGTTTTTTTTCTCATGATGCCTTTGAATAAGATGATGAAATTAAAGTACACACAAACTTTGAGCTTCAGTTAATGCAAAGGCAATTAAAATTATAGGAAATATCGACATACATCAGTATAAAAATACAGGTACAGTAAAATGGTTTCATGAATTCAACATTCTTTT